ATTAGGTGCACATATTCCAACCAGTGCATAATAATACAATAATAACACTTTATTTATATTTCGCCCTATCTCCCCAAGGGAACTCAGGGCAGATCACAGTACCCATACATAGCAAACATTCAATGCCATTTTGGATAGACAAGACAGAGACAGAAACAACAGAACAGAAAGGAGGCATGTTGTGATGTTGTGTTGACATCCAGCTTTTTGGCGCCTTGGAGGTTGTGCTCGAATCCAGCCACAAGGGGTGCTGTTGCTCCATCCTCGATGCATGCTAGTGCTAGACTTCCTGACAAAGTGCAAGACACGCACCTGCCTAAACTTGCTTGTAAAGCCTTGATCAATTATAACTCTCAATTTGTATCTTTAACTGGAAAATAAATTAATCATTATGATTTGTAACTCTATGTATTACTTTATGCTTCCAGTGTTGGAAACTGCAACCTTTAATAACCTCGTAATTTGTTATGTATATAACTGAGATTGCTTACCATATTGTGTGTGTATATTGGTATGCAGTTTCGCCTTAACTCTATGTTGTTTGGGGTTGTGGGAGGGACTACAGACCATGTGACTCAGATCTGGGACTATTCAGACTGAGACTCCATTTTAGAAATCAGTGTGCAGTGAGTTGAGTATGCAGTTGAGTTTTGCATCAGTGTGCTGCAGTGAATAGTTAGTTTTATATTGAGCAACGTATTAGACTGGAGGAAGTATTAGTCTGTATGCAACAGAGAAGAGACGGAAAGAGAATGCTTAAAGAACAGACTGCTTAAACTTTGAACCAATAAGCAATGCACCTGTATGCTGAATACATGAAGTTTGGAAGTAAATGCAACCATGGTAACTACTTATTTTGGTCTCTTGAGAGCATGATTTGAAAGCAATATATTTTATGGGGAGTAGATATATTTTGGGCAACTGAAATAACACTTCTGAAGATCTGCTATATTTTATTGATTTATTTATTTCATGCATTTCTACCCCGCCCTTCTCCCCCCGAAGGGAGACTCAGGGCGGCCCCACATAAGCATCATCTGATGCTGTCAGCATACAGCAACAAAGATTACAGTCAAAACAGTAAAAAATCATTAAAACATTATACAAATTCATTCACAATAAATGAAAACATATTTTGTGTATTGGCATATCTTTGTTCCTAACAGATTCGAGAGATAACCAGGTGTATCAGTCTAACAACTGAGAAACCTAATTTGCCCTGCAAGAATACTACTGGATATGTATATTTGGAACCATGCGATCCATGGTTCTAAATGGTTCTAAAGTACTTACAAAACTAGGGATGCTGGTGCTTTGCTTCTAAAGTGTTTCTAAAGCTGGTGCTTCACTTCTAAAGTGTTTCTAAAACTGGTGCTTTGCTTCTAAAGTGTTTCTAAAGCTGGTGCTTTGCTTTTAAAGTGTTTCTAAAGCTGGTGCTTTGTTTCTAAAGTGTTTCTAAAGCTGGTGCTTTGCTTCTAGAGTGTTTCTAAAGTTTGTGCTTTGCTTCTAAAGTGTTTCTAAAGCTTATGCTTTTCTTCTAAAGTGTTTCTAAAACTGGTGCTTTGCTTCTAAAGTGTTTCTAAAGTTGGTGCTTTGCTTCTAAAGTGTTTCTAAAGCTGGTGCTTTGCTTCTAAAGTGTTTCTAAAGCTGGTGCTTTGCTTCTAAAGTGTTTCTGAAGCTGGTGCTTTGCTTCTAAAGTGTTTGTAAAGCTGATGCTTTGCTTCTAAAGTGTTTCTAAAGCTGGTGCTTTGCTTCTAAAGTGTTTCTAAAATTGGTGCTTTGCTTCTAAAGTGTTTCTAAAACTAGTGCTTTGCTTCTAAAGTGTTTCTAAAATTGGTGCTTTGCTTCTAAAGTGTTTCTAAAACTGGTGCTTTGCTTCTAAAGTGTTTCTAAAGCTGGTGCTTCACTTCTAAAGTGTTTCTAAATCTGGTGCTTTGCTTCTAAACTGTTTCTAACATTATGGTGGTGAAAATTTGAGAATGCTAACGAAACTTTCAAAATTTAGTTATAAATGGCAGTTCCTAATTGGTTCTGTCATAAAAATCGCCATTAACAAAACAATAATAAAATTTTGAAAATTTCGTTAGAGTTCTGAAATTTTCACCACCAGAACTTTAGAAACACTTTAGAAGGAAAGCACCAGCACCCCCTAGCTTTGTAAGTACGTTAGAACCATTTAGAACCATGGATCACACATGCCTAATATTTATCACTAAGGAGAAGATTCACCGAAACCAGCATTTAACTCTTCTCAGCAAGATAATGCTTTACAAAAGGTTATAATTATTCCAAATTGTGTGAATGCCAATTAACCTCCAAAAAAAGGGTCACACTTCCAATAATAATAATCATCATCATCATCTTTATTTATTCCCCACCACCATCTCCCCCAAAGGGGACTCGGAGCGGCTTACATGAGGCCAAGTCTGATGATACATTACATCAAAAAATACAAATGGTTATGGAGATTCTGGTTTCCAAAAGGTTATGATCTCAAAAGGTCACAATTTCCAAAATCCACTATCCCCTGGTCAATGCCCTCCAATTTCTGCCTGTATGGAGATGCCACTTCCCCCTTCTTCTTCCCCAAAGTCTTTAGCATGAGAGTTATGACCTTTCCGAGCTGTACGGCTGTGTTCTAACAGCATTTTCTGCAGATGCAGGTGAAACGTCAGGAAAAATTGATGCCAGAACATGGCCATACAACCCGGAAAGGTCATAACTCTCATGCTAAAGACTTTGGGGAAGAAGGAGGGGGAAGTGGCATCTCCATACAGGCAGGAAGCAAAGCACCTCAAGCTGCATGCATGAAGGAAGCAGAATTGCAAAGGAAAGAGAGCAGGCATGCACTCAGGTTTCCATCTCTCCCTCAATGCTCTCTACAACACAAGTGTGGACGCTTCTTCACTTCCAACCTGCCAGCAGAACCGCCACAGGAAGAAGGCCAGTCTTGCTCTGCCTCTCCTCTTATGGCAGGGAGTTCCGCAGCTCCAACCCTGGCCAACCTCTTTCCAAGGAATGCTCAGGCCAATAATGCCCTGGGCAGCCTGGCTACTTCCTCTCTCTGACCCTAAAGCAGTGTTTCTCAACCTTCCTAATGCCACGACCCCTTAATACGCTTCCTCGTGTGATGGTGACCCCCAAGCATAAAATTAGTTTCGTTGCTACTTCATAACTGTCATTTTGCTGCTGTTATGAATAGTAATGTAAATATCTGATATGCAAGATGTATTTTCATACACTGGACCAAATTTGGCACAAATACCCAATACACCCAAATTTGAATACTGGTGGGGTTGGGGGAGGGCATTGATTTTGTCCTGTGGGAGTTGTAGTTGCTGGGGTTTATAGTTCGTCTACAATCAAAGAGCATTGTGAACTCCACTAATGATGGAACTGAACCAAACTTGGCACACAGAACTCCCATGACCAACAGAAAATACTGGAAGGGTGGGCACTGACCTTGAGTTTTGGGAGTTGTAGTTCATCTTCATCCAGAGAACACTGTGGACTCAAACAATGATGGATCTGGACCAAACTCAGTATGCCCAAATGTAAACACTGGTGGAGCTTGGGGAAAATAGACCTTGTCATTTGGGAGTTGTAGTTGCTGGGATTTATAGTTCACCTACAGTCAAAGAGCATTCTGAACCCTACCAACGATTGAATTGGGCCAAACTTCCCACACAGAACCTCCATGATGAACAGAAAATACTGTGTTTTCTGGTGGTCTTTGGTGACCCCTCTGACACCCCCTCACGACCCCTCCAGGGGTCCCGACCCCCAGGTTGAGAAACACTGCCCTAAAGCATCTTTGCGACCCACAGCCAGCCACTGGGAGGGCAAGGGCTTGCACTCTCCTCCCCCAAAGGAAGAGGGAACTGAATTGAGCAAGAGTTTCGTCCTCACCGCAGAGAGGAAGCGTGCCTTGTGCCCTTTTGCTGGCTGCAGGGAGAGACAGGAAGGAAGGAACGCCCTGTGAGCAGATTCGGAGGAAGGCAAGGTCCCAAAGCAGTTGCAGGGACTCAACGGTCTGTGTAGAGAGAGAGAAAGCCAGGAGCAGGTAAGAAAGTGGTAGTGGCCGGTGGGAGAGGAGGGTCTCGGCTGAGGATACATAAAGGGAGATAAACATTGGACTTCTGGATTCCCTCTCTGGCAATTTTAAGGTGAGGGGACATCTCCACCCCAGTGTCATTGACAGAGATTGTTGCGCAGCAGCTGATTTTAGCCACATCCCATGCAAAAGACACACAGGCAAGAGGAAAATTGAATAGAAAAACTTTACTCTTATTAGCAGAGGCAAACATAAACTTGCAGTGTTGCATACAAAATCAAACAGTGCAACAAACTTACATAGTCCTTGTAAGTAACACAGAATAAGGCATCTTCATCTTCAATCAAATGAGAGAGCAAAACATAAACCTTGAGTAAATAGCTACTCCACCATAGCAAAGAGCATCACTTTTAGAGCATAACAGCATCCCCAAAACTGCTCTCCAAACTGTATTCTAAGATCCATACAGTTATACTCCACTGGGAGTGGCTCAAACATGCTGGCTGACCTACATTACCAGCTGCACATAATAATTACTTTCATAAGGTTTTTCTTTAACACACACACACTTGATCCTGCTACGACTTATTGTAACAGAGATGTCCTTCTTGTCCAGCCAGATTGGCCAGAGAAAAGATGCCCAAGGCACCCTGGCCTCTCTGAGGTCGCTTTTCACTGCTACGCATGGACACATACTTGCCTTGTGCCCTTTCTCTACCTCTGTTGACACATATGTTCACTCATACACTTTTTCTCCGTGGCCAGACCACCTGGGAAGGAAAATGAAGACAATGCCCATCAAAGAGGTCTTTTGGTACCACAACAAAATTTCCCTTCTGTCCCAAAACTTCTTGCACTGCCGAGAACGAGATGTGGAAAACTATCCATCCCTCTTTGTTGAGGTCTCTGTCTCTGGGTCACTTTGACTGACTTTGGGGTGCCTAAAGTGCATTTCCCATTGCTTGGCTCAAGCTTTAAACCACTTTGAATATTTAAAAAACGGGGACAAGGCAGAATTCTTATGCAGGAGGACAGCAAGGCCCTCTTTTCCCCTTTCTCTGTAGGATTTCTTTCTATAAAATGACTGGTTTTTGCTATGTATGGGATCTCAGTTTCCTTTGACAGTTTACTGCAAACTGGCATCACTTTCAGCTGATTTAATAAAACACCTCTGTGTCTTCTCCAACTTGGTGAGATTTCTTCATTGGGGAACATTGGGCTTCTTCTTCTCACCAGGTGCACGGACCTACAGGGCGGCCTCTCATTGGTACCGGTATCCGCCTATCGGGACTTGGTATCGGCACTTCAGGTTTCGCTATCCGCGGCTTGGATCTCGCTATCCGTGGCTGTACTTCAGAGTTGGAGACATTCAGCTCAAGTTTTATTCTGAGATGAGCAAATGTGGTGCTGTAGCAGTTTGATTTCCCCCTCCTTCTCCAAAAGACCTGTTCTATTAGTAATTATGATGACAAAGTGGATTTTAGAGCAGCTGCCATTGGCCAGTAGCCTCCTTGCTTGTTGTGCATAGCGGGTTGCAGTCAGGTCCAATGCAGAAGACACAATAACATTCCACACAGCCAAAAGGAAAGTGAACAGAATATCTTTACTCTTATCAGCAGAGTTAAAACATGACCTTGCAGTGTTGCAAACAAAAACAAACAGTGCAATAAACTTACATAGTCCTTTTAAGCAATGCAGAATAAGGCTTCTTCATCCAAATGAGAGAGCAGTACAAATGGTTGAGCAAAATGCCTGAGCAAAGGCTCCTCAGAGCCAAAAACTGAACTGTATTCTAAAACCCATACAGTTCTACCCCACCGGGTGTGGTCCAAACTTACTAGTTGACCTACATTAGCAGCTGCACATAATAATCAACAGTATAAGGTTTTCTTTAACACACACGCACGCGTGCGCACACACACACACACACACACACACTTGATCCTGTTACGACTTACTGCAACACTTCTTTCATCAGTGCGCCAATGCTTAGCACACCATCTTCTTGTTGAAAGACAGGGAGCATGTAGGGCTGCAAGGCAAAGATTTACAGCAACCCTGGTGTAGTGCACTTTTGGTAGCATGCATAAGAGCAGTGTTTCTCAACCTTCCTAATGCCACAGCCCCTTAATATAGTTCCTCATGTTGTGGTGGCCCGTAGCCAGGATTTTGATTCGGGGGGGGGGGCTGAGTTTGATTTGGGGGGGCTGAGTCTGCGTGAGAGAGGATCTACCCTAGCAAACCTTTTGTATCGTTATCATAGTATCATAGAATCATAGAATCAAAAGTTGGAAGAGACCTCATGGGCCATCCAGTCCAACCCCATTCTGCCAAGAAGCAGGAATATTGCATTCAAGCACCCCTGACAGATGGCCATCCAGCCTCTGTTAAAAGCTTCCAAAGAAGGAGCCTCCACCACACTCCGGGGCAGAGAGTTCCACTGCTGAACGGCTCTCACAGTCAGGAAGTTCTTCCTAATGTTCAGATGGAATCTCTTCTCTGCATATGGGATATATTGAGCATGGCGATCAGATCATGATATGAATAAACATAACAGTTTAAATAATGCACCAGTAAGGCCTTCTTGTGGACCACCCTTAGAATTTGGGGAGGGCTGAAGCCCCCCGGCTACATGCCTACCCCCAACCATACAATTATTTTTTTTGCTACTTCATACCTGTAATTTTGCTCCTGTTATGAATCGTAATGGAAATATTTCATACCTGTAATTTTGCTCCTGTTATGAATCGTAATGGAAATATCTGATATGCAGGATGTATTTTCATTCACTAGATCAAACTGGGCACAAATACCCAATATGCCCAATGACCAACAGAAAATACTGTGTTATCCTGGTGGTGTTTGGTGACCCCTCTGACACCCCCCTCATGACCGCCCCCCCCCCCCAGGTTGAGAAACACTGCATTAGAGCCTTGTGGTTTCCATTGTTGCCCCATTTTGATGTCCAACACACACTTTCCCTCTTTAACTTGTCTGATGCAAGAAGGTGCTTGGAACAACAACAGCAGAGCTGGCCTTTTTGTGTAATCCGGACTGCCTTGTGGCTTGTGAAAGAGTTCGAAATGCCATCCTTCCCTGTTGTGCTTCCCTTGTAGAGACACCCCATGCCTTCAGTCATCCCCCCTGTTTAAACAGGTCCATTGACTTATTTCTGGTCTCAATTCAAGGTGCAGGTGATCATCTATAAAGCCCTAAATGGTTTGGGACCTGCTTATCTTCGCGATCGCATAGAATCCTAGAATCCTATAGTTGGAAGAGACCTCCTGGGCAAAGCAGTCCAACCCCATTCTGCCAAGAAGCAGGAATATTGCATTCAAAGCTCCCCCGACAGATGGCCATCCAGCCTCTTTTTAAAAGCTTCCAAAGAAGGAGCCTCCACCACACTCCGGGGCAGAGAGTTCCACTGCTGAACGGCTCTCACAGTCAGGAAGTTCTTCCTCATGTTCAGATGGAATCTCCTCTCTTGTAGTTTGAAGCCATTCTCCATTGCGTCCTAGTCTCCAGGGAAGCAGAAAGGAAGCTTGCTCCCTCCTCCTCCCTGTGGCTTCCTCTCACATATTTATACATGACTGACCTTGAGGGAGCTGGGGGTGGTAACGGCCGACAGGGAGCTCTGGCGTGGGCTGGTCCATGAGGTCACGAAGAGTCGGAGACGACTGAACGAATGAACAACAACATCATATCTCCTCTCAGCCTTCTCTTCTTCAGGCTAAACATGCCCAGCTCCTTAAGCCGCTCCTCATAGGGCTTGTTCTCCAGACCCTTGATCATTTTAGTCGCCCTCCTCTGGACACATTCCAGCTTGTCAATATCTCTCTTGAATTGTGGTGCCCAGAATTGGACACAGTATTCCAGGTAAAGTGGTCTAACCAAAGCGGAATAGAGCATGGGGAGCATGACTTCCCTGGATCTAGACACTAGGCTCCTCTTGATGCAGGCCAAAATCCCATTGGCTTTTTTTTCCCTACAAACCAGTGCATACCCTGAGATCATCCGGGGATGGTCTTCTCTCGCTCCCACCCCTGTCTCAGGTGTGGTTGGTGGGGATGAGAGAGGGGGCCTTCTCGGTGGTGGCTCCCCGGCTTTGGAACTCCCTTCCTAAGGAGATCAGACAGGCTCCCACCTTGTCCTCTTTTCGGAGGGAATTAAAAACCTGGATGTTTTGCTGTGCCTTTGATTAGGCCGTTCACCAGAAAATGATCCTGCCCCTACTTTAATTTCTACACTTTATCCTGGCCCTTTTATTGGCTACCTTGACACTTTTGACAACAGTATTCCCCAGCTCTGTTCATTTGTGCTTGGCACTTCCTCTGGGCACCTGTGAGGAATCATGGCACCCATTGAGCTTGAACTCTGCTATGTCCCCTTGTCTCAGCCAGACTGTTTTTATGATGTTGTCTATGACTGTGTTTGTTTCATTGTTTCATTATTTTATTGATTGATGTTATTTGTGTGTTTGTTTTTATCTGTAACATTTCGGGTTTGTCCCTTTCTAAGCCGCCCCGAGTCCCCTAGGAGAGATGGAGGTGGGATATAAAAATAAAGTTATTATTATTATTATTATTATTATTATTATTATTATTATATTCTGCAGAGATGGAGGCCAAAGGCTGAAGAGCACAAGAAGGTGATACTTACGTTTGGAAATACTTCAGAGGGAGGCGAACATGAAGCGGGCAGGTAAGGAAGAAGGACAACACCTGCAGAGTTACCTGGCTCACTCAGAACAAAGGATTTCTGTGGCTCCAGAGAAAGGGGTTTCGACATTGCCAGACTTCTTCTATTTCCAGCTGTGGGTGGGAGGGACGCTTCTTTCTCGTATTCCCCTGTTGTCGGAGGAAACACCACAAGAAGAGCTGCAACGGAGGCTCAAAGAGGCCTCTTCATGCTTCTAACAGAGTTTTTAACAGGTCCAGTGCCTTTGGGCAATGGGTTCACTCCTGGTTTTCATCTGAACATGCATTTACACTGTAGAGTTAATGCAGTTTGATACCATATCATCAGATAAATGCTATAAGAACCTGGGAGATGTAGTTTAGTGAGGCACCAGAGAGAGAGGAGATACAAAGCAGTATAATAATAATAATAATAATAATAATAATAATAATAATAATAATAACAAAACTTTATTTATACCCCGCCACCATCTCCCCAAGGGGACTCGGGGCAGCTTACATGAGGCCAAGCCCAACAACACATCAGTAAAAACAAAACAGCAAGCAAATAAAACAGTACAATTAATATAACTCACATATAAACAATAACACAGAGAATTATAAGAAAGGGACCTTATAACCCCTTTCTTATAGCTAGCAAAAAAAAGTGTGCGGTGCCTTTAAATCTCTCCTTGCTTCTGCCTCACCCTCAGAATGTGATATATATATATATAGAGAGAGAGAGAGAGAGAGAGCGTCTTCACTTTGTGGATTTTCACTTCTCGCATGTCCCTAATTTCTCTACTAACAGCACAGCTGTTTTTTGTACTCCCTAGGTGAACAGTGAGCAGGGCTATTAACAGTCAGGAGCTCAAACCTGACTTGGGTTTCAAACTTGCCACCTTCCGGTTGGCAGTGATTTATTGCTCTGGTTACATCCTGTATAGACTACTGCAATGCACTCTACATGGGGCTGCCTTTGAAGACTGTTTGGAAGCTTCAAATGGTCCAACGGGCGGCAGCCAGGTTATTAACAGGAGTGGCGCTCAGGGAGCATACAACCCTTCTGTTGTGCCAACTCCACTGGCTGCCAGTTTGCTACGGGCACAATTCAAAGTGCTAGCTTTAGCCTTTAAAGCCCTAAACAGTTCCGGCCCAGCTTACCTGTCTGAACGTATCTCTCCCTATGAGCCATCTAGGTCCCTAAGATCATCTGGGGAGGCCCTGCTCTCAATCCCACCTCCTTCACAGATGCGATTAGTGGGAACAAAAGACAGGGCCTTCTCAGTGATGGCCCATCGGCTATAGAACGCCTTTCCTAGGGATATCAGATTGGCCCCCTCCCTCCTAACATTTTGAAAAAAAGTTAAAACCTGGTTTTTTGAACAAGCATTTCCAGATGGAATGTAACAGGCTAATTTAGTTCCACGGAACCATTGGACGATGCGACTGGAAAATGATTTTAGTAATGAGTTGCTGAGGACTTGTGTTTTATTGTTCTTATTGTTTCTATTGTTTTTATATATTTTATTATATGTTAGTGCTTTTAATTATATTTTATGTTGTTGTGAGAATTAAATTATGCCAATTGTAAACTGCCTTGAGTCACCTCCGGGCTGAGAAAGGCGGTATATAAATATGGTAAATAAACTGCTGCTAGTGATTAACCATCTGTGCTACAGCCCGGACCTAATGGGTTGTTTCTCTGTTTCCCTTTTGCTGACATGACCTTCGAAACCCACAGGGGAATCAGAAGTGCGGATCGTCCTCCTTGGCAAATCCGGAGTTGGAAAGAGCGCCACAGGGAACGCCATTCTTGGCCGGAGGGAGTTTGAGTCTCGGCTTCAGGCGAGGACCACGACCGTGGCCTCCCAGCGGCGCCATGGGAAGTGGAAGGACCTGGCTGTTTCTGTGGTGGACACGGCAGACGTCTGCGACCCAAAAGTCCCCAGCGAAGAACTGGAACCCAGGGTCCGGCACACCATCGCCCTCGCCAGGCCCGGTCCCCATGCACTCCTGTTCGTGACCCAGGCTGGACATTTCACCCCAGAAGACGAGGCGGCAGTAGAGCAGCTCCAGGAGATGTTTGGGGAGGAGGCGGTTCAGCACGTGATTGTCCTCTTCACCCACAAAGAGGACTTGGGAGGGATCTCCTTGCAAGAACATGTCAACAGGTCCCACAACGAAGCTCTGCTGGGGCTGATCCAGAAATGTGGGAACCGAGTTTGTGCATTCGACAACAACGCCCTTGAGGAAGATCAGGAGGAGCAAGTCTCCGAATTGATGGAAATGGTCCTGAATATGATCCGGGAGAACAGAAGGCTTTACAGCAACAAGAGGCCGTACCTGGAATCTTCCATTATGGAGGAAGCCTCAGGATCCTTCGTAGCAGAAAGGAGGAGAGCCGAGAAAAGGGAAAGAGGAGTGCTGGAGAGGTTCAGCTGCAGGACGGCATTTGCAGTCCTTGCCTTGGGTGCATGTCTAGCTTTCCTGTATTGCCTTAGCTATCTCATTTCTAACAGGGACTGAGAAATAATGGAAAGCCAATTGGCTGCCTCCATATTATAAGAAAACTAGCTCAACCCAGCTGTACTGGTACGGCTGTACCAGGAATTCCAACTTCCTTTTCTTTCTTTGAGTATTTGCATGTATTCCAAAGTTCCATGCATTTTGCAATAAGGTGGCTTCCCTTGGTTTGCAGCCACCTGCCTATCATCGTTGGGTTTTTTAGTTCCGCCCCTTTCCCCAGGGTTCAGGAAGGAAAGGGAGCCATTTTAGCTCAGTCTTACAGTTGAAAGCTTAGCTACAGGACGTGAATCAGCTCCACCTGTAGAGAAGGTTCGTTTCTTACGAAATTCCGGGGGGAAACAGTTCCAAAGGACTCCAGCTGGAGAATCTACAAAGCCTTGACTGGTAGGTCTACTCAAGACCCAAGAAGCAGTTTGGAGCCGGGAGTAGAGCCCACACCAGCAAAGTTTAGAAAGTAGATTGCCCAAGGAGGGGTTAAAAAGGGTTTTCCTCTTAAAGAAAAGAAACAGTTCACGAAGCCAGTTGCCTGTCCCTTGTGGACAAGATTAAGAATGTCAGGATTAATTTAGTTATATGTGTGTTTTTCAATGTGCTTCTATGTAATTCCAAGATGGATTCTACTGTGTATTAGAAATGCTGTGCAGAATGTTTAATTTCATGAGGCTGTGATTATGTAACCTTGAGAGAAGTGAGAGAATGCTTGCTCTTACTGAGAACAGAAGGGAGTAACCAGTCTCAGCAAGAAGAGAGATAAGCAGATGTGAAGAGACTTTCGTGTTTGACTAGTTCCTGTTTGTAGCTCGCTGTAGAAAGACGTGTGTTTGATGTACTTAGTAAAACTTAGTTTCTTTTGTAACTCAAAGCCTGCAGAGTCCTTATTTTTGCAACTCAGTGTCTGTGTGATCTGGCATTCCTTCCGCTGGCAAACGTCAACACTCTGATTAAGAAAGCCACCAGTTGATTCAAAGCCTTGAAGTATTTGTTTGACCTGTTGAAGATCTGAGAAGTATTTGATTGTTTTGTTGAAGACCTAAGCAATAATAAAGGACTTTGTTAAACTTTTCAAGCTTTTAAAGACTCTGTATAGGAAAATCCTTAGGGCCTCTCAGCTGAGGCACCCTGGCTTCCCGCTGGGCACAAAGAGCACGTCCGGTTCAAAAGCCAATTGCTATAGGCCCAACGCATGACAGCACACCAGCCATGTTTCACTGTGCCTCAGTCTGATATGAAATGAATGAGATAGTAAATAAACATATTGTTGTGAACATAGATTAACTGCGAAAACACATCATTCAATCCCATACCCTGTCTTGCGTTTCTGTGTCCATGTGGAATGAAAAGAAAGGAAAGATAAAGAGATTTTTTACACAAATTATTTTTATTCTAAAGTTAGTGGATTGACTACATTTATGGTTTGTCCTTTTTGGCAAAAATCAATATTTGCTAGGTTGTTGTATGTTTTTTCGGGCTATATGGCCATGTTCTAGAGGCATTCTCTCCTGATGTTTCGCCTGCATCTATGGCAAGCATCCTCAGAGGTAGTGAGGATGCTTGCCATAGATGCAGGCGAAACGTCAGGAGAAATGCCTCTAGAACATGGCCATAGCCCGAAAAAACCCACAAGAACCTAGTGATTCCAGCCATGAAAGCCTTCGACAATAAAAATATGACGGTTTACCAACTCTGGAGCAAGGGACGTCTAAGTTCCCCTGAGAAACGCAACTGTTTTCTAAATTCAAACCGCACACTTGCAAAGATTTCTCCTGTGCTTTATTGATAGTTAACAAATCCCCTTTGGAATGTGTAGTTTCCTGGAAATGAAGTCCATTGCGAGGGTGGGGAATGCTATTGTTTTGATATTGCGGAACTTCACAAAGTGCAAATACAGGGTTATCCCAAAAGTAGGGTTCCGAGGCTTGTAGCTCTCACGGGGAATTTTTGTGGGAAAAGTTGGTATCACTGCCATGTAGCAGGAAGCCAGCAGAAGCGAATGAGCAGTGCTAGTCGTCAGTAGCTCATTGACTGACATTGTGGTGAAGGTTAGAGATGAGCATCCTCATTACGTTTCCCTCCAAGGACAAAGTTTGTGCTGCAATACGCTACCTAAATGCGAAGGGCATGAACACCGCTGCAATTCATCACAAGATTGTTTCAGTTTATGGAGAGGATGTAATGGCAAGACATCATGTGGCAAAATGAGTATGGAATTTCAATGGCAGAAGGAGAAAATTCACAATGAAGACAGAAGTGGACGGCCATCCGTTGTGACTATGGGCTATATGGCCATGTTCTAGTGGGCTATATGGCCATGTTCTAGTGGGCTATATGGCCATGTTCTAGAGGGCTATATGGCCATGTTCTAGAGGGCTATATGGCCATGTTCTAGAGGGCTATATGGCCATGTTCTAGAGAGCTATATGGCCATGTTCTAGAGGGCTATATGGCCATGTTCTAGTGGGCTATATGGCCATGTTCTAGAAGGCTAAATGGCCATGTTCTAGAGGGCTATATGGCCATGTTCTAGTGGGCTATATGGCCATGTTCTAGAGGGCTATATGCCATGTTCTAGAGAGCTATATGGCCATGTTCTAGAGAGCTATATAGCCATGTTCTAGAGGGCTATATGGCCATGTTCTCCTACATTTTGTCTGCATCTATGGCAAGCATCCTCACATACCTCTGAGGATGCTTGCCATAGATGCAGGCGAAACGTCAGGAGAGAATGCCTCTAGAACATGGCCGTATAGCCCGAAAAAAACCTACAACAACCCAGTGATTCCGGCCATGAAAGCCTTCGACAATATTATTCTCACCTTCTTCAATGTGCTTACAGTACAAACTTCGTACTTGGAGGGAAACGGAATGAGGACACTCATCTCTAACCTTCACCACAATGCCAGTTGGTGAGCTACTGATGACTGGCATTGCTCGTTCACTTCTGCTGGCTTCCAGCTACACAACAGTGAGACCAACTTCCCCCGAGAAAATTCCCCACAAGAGCTATGTGCCTTGCAACCTTACTTTCTGGATAACCCTCGTACAGCACGAACTTCGCACTTGGAGGGAAACGGAATGAGGACGCTCATCTCTAACCTTCACAATGTCAGTTGTTGAGCTACTGACAACTGGCACTGCTCGTTTGCTTCCGCTGGCTTCCAGCTACACGGCAGTGAGACCAATTTCCCCTGAGAAAATTCCCCATGAGAGCTACGTGCCTTGTAACCTTACTTTCCATATAACCCACATGATGTAGTAAAATGTATATATGATTTTGGAATTCATGTTGAGTCTATTCTCAGCTGCCCATTGACTGAAGGGAACCAGAGAAGAGAAGGAGTCCCCAGAGAAGGAAAGACGTTGGGACGCCAGGGTTCAAAGAGCTGGGAGCGGCACCTGTGGAAATATAAGGGGGGAAAAGCGAAGTTAAATGCCTTCCTGGGGATGGAACAGAGCAACCGGCTCTCTCTTCCAACTCTAAGACCCCACCACCCCATGAGTCTTCATTTAGAGCCAAGGTTTCCTTGGCTGAATTAATGTGCACATAGTGGAGTCCTTTTGAAACTTAGTACAGTCACCAGGGCTGATAAATAGTAATCATTCCACATTGTTGCTGCGGCACAGAACCATTTCTGCAGGGCCTTGAGCACTTCACTTTTCCTTTCCTGGCCCATGGCTTGGCCTCTGACTGTGATTCTACCCTCACCATTTAAGCCAATGGGTATTTATTTATCCTATCAGGAGCAAGCAAACAGTTGGATTGCATTTTAAACAAACAAACAAACAAACAAACAAACAAACAAACCACAACGTTTGCAAGCTTGGTAGTTGATTAAATGTCCTTTGACCAGTATCTGGCCACTTGGAGTGCTTCTGGTGTTGCCGCAAGGAGGTCCTCCATTGTGCATGTGGCAGGGCTCAGGTTGCATTGCAGCAGGTGGTCAATGGTTTGCTCTTCTCCACACTCGCATGTGTGGATTCCACTTTGTGGCCCCATTTCTTGAGGTTGGCTCTGCATCTCGTGGTGCCAGAGCGCAGTCTGTTCAGCGCCTTCCAAATCGCCCAGTCTTCTGTGTGCCCAGGGGGGAGTCTCTCATTGGTATCAGCCATTGGTTGAGGTTCTGGGTTTGAGCCTGCCACTTTTGGACTCTCGCTTGCTGAGGTGTTCCAGAGTGTCTCTGTAGATCTTAGAAAACTATTTCTTGATTTAAGTCGTTGATGTGCTGGCTGATACCCAAACGGGATGAGCTGGAGATGTCTCTGCCTTGGTCCTTTCACTATTGGCTGCTACTTCCCGGCGGATGTCAGGTGGTGCAATACCGGCTAAGCAGTGTAATTTCTCCAGTGGTGTAGGGCGCAGACACCCCATGATAATGCGGCATGTCTCATTAAGAGCCACATCCACTGTTTTAGTGTGGTGAGATGTGTTCCACACTGGGCATGCGTACTCAGCAGCAGAGTAGCATAGCGCAAGGGCAGATGCCTTCACTGTGTCTGGTTGTGATCCCCAGGTTGTGCCAGTCAGCTTTCGTATGATATTGTTTCTAGCACCCACTTTTTGCTTGATGTTCAGGCAGTGCTTCTTGTAGGTCAAAGCACGGTCCAGAGTGACTCCCAAGTATTTGGGTGCGCTGCAATGCTCCCGTGGTATTCCTGGATGATTTGCACAAGTGCACCACTTGACCCAAACCCTCCTCTCCTCTCATCCACCTTTCGTACCTGAAAGCTTGCATTTGGCGACCAAGTAGTCATAGTCCGTTTGATTTAAGGCAGCAAGGACTCGAGCATCCAACCCTAAAAGATATTGAGGAAGCAAGTTATTCAATAATTCTTAATTGCAACTCTTGCCGGTGAAAAATAGGATGCAACTCAAAAGTGGCGTGTTTGGGGGATAGCTGATATGAATACATTAATACAATCCTGGCTCGGAGGGACAAATGAAACAGGTCTTCTCTTTTGAAACAGAGATGGGGAGACATGTGCTTCTTTTTCTTATTTTGGGAGCCAAAATAGTTTGGGGATTGTAATTCTGGAGGACAGGCATCCAGAAATCTCTTTTTTTTTCAGTTGGGAGACAAATGAAAGCAAAGGTTCCTTCCCTCCCTCATTAGAGAATTGAGAGAAGCTCCCATTCTGGCAAAACTTAGCCTTCTCTTCCTCCCCTTTCCCCAATTCCCACATCCAACCTCCTTACCTAAGTATCCATTGGATGAAGTATCTCGGTTATCCACGGAGAGGACATATGCATCGGCCTGGGCTGAAGTGACAACAAAGACAAACAAGCACAGCTCTATCAAAGGATTCCTAGCATTCGTTTCCTTGCACCCAGGGAACTGTTCCACATTCTAGTCCGAACAGTGGGGGAGCTTTCTGGGCAACCTGGGAAGTCCTTCAAGACCCACAGTGAAGTCTGGGAGAAAAGAACTGGCCCAGTGATCTATCAGAGCATAGGCGACACAGTTCAGGACTGTCCCTTCTCTCCCTATTTTAATAGGAGATCTTGAACACCATGGAGCCAATGCCTGCTCTCTTTACTCAATGGAAAAATTCTAGGGTTTCGCGAGACCAGTCGCTCTCGTTGCAACGGTGTAGTAACGATGAGACTGCAGACCATATTTTATTTCTTGGAGACCACTGGTGGTCCATGCCCACTAAGATGGATTTTGGGGAGCTGCCAGTGCCAGGTGACCTCAATGGCCCATTGGAATGCTGGGGCGATGGACACATTCTGAATGGACCACACAATACACAGCAATTTCCAGTGTGTGTTTCAGTTTTTGTTGTTTGTGTTATGTTTTCAACCTACTTTGCCTTTCTTTAGGTCAGTGGTTCCCAAGCTTTATTTGGCCAGGGACCACT